GAGGGAGCCGAGCCGCACCTGTGAGCGGGGAGGCTCTGCCCGGCGCCGCGGGGTGTCTGGGCGCGCGGCCCGCTCCGTGGGGCCGCAGCGGGGCCCGAAGGGCTGCGGGAAGGAGCAGTGCTCGCGCGTCCCGTTCCCTAACGCTGTACTCGGCGTCTCTTGCAGTGACTGTGCCCGTCTCTGGACGCGCCTTCTGCGTTCCCCCCTGCCTGCTTCTCTCCCAGTTGATCGTTTCTGTATATAGCACTTTTTCCCTGTTTGTAGGAATGTTTGGAAGCCTCTGTGTGCTCTTTTCTGTGGAGAGCCTTGTCTCTAGCAGGAGCAGCTAAGAACGGGGAGACTAGCCCAGTAGGGTCTGCTGGCTTCCTGGGGGGCTGAACTGAAAGATCCCCAACCTTCGCTGTCAGCGGGGAATGCATGAGGATCAGGGCAGAGGGCTGTGGGGCAGGCAAAACCCCGCCTCAGGGTGTGCTGCTTCCGGGTGGCTTTGAAAGAAGGGCCTAGCTGGGGTCCTGGCGCTGCAAGCTGGTGACCAAGGGGAACGTGCGGGGCTCAGAGCCCCGGTCTGTGGGACTCTAGCAGTGTCTGCCCTGCAGTACCAGCCTGTGCTCTCCTCTGGTGAACGACCTGTGGCCTGTTCTCCAGCCAAGTGCACGCTGGCTCACCTGTAGTGGAGACTTACCCTGTGGCTTGTGACCTGGGCTGTGCAAGTCAGAGTAATGTGAGCTGGTCCTTGTGCTTCCTGGCTGCCCCCCTGCGCTACACCCTCTGCTTTTGTCCCCAGCGCTATACAGTAGCACAGAGTTCATGGGAAAATCTGAGACTGGCTGTGCTGGGTTAGGCCAAAGATCTACCTTTCCCTATACTGCTGCCTTCTCTCCTGGGTTTGTCCCCGATGTCCTCTCTTCTCCCTTCCTGCTCCAGGTCACCAAGGAGGCTTTTGCATGATGTGCATTATGCAGAATCACATGATCCAGGCTTTTGCCAACAGCGGCAATGCAATCAAGCCAGTGTCCTTCATCCGAGACCTCAAGAGTAAGGATGGCTTCCCTCTCTTCTCCTAGCAGCGCTTGGGTGCAGTGACTAAGGCACCGAGCAGAACCTTTGACACTGGGGCATGTCTTGCCAGGCAGTCCTTAAGGGATGACTCAGTCAATTTATTATGCTGCTTGGGGCTGGGCTGATGACTTCATGGATGTGCTGTGGCTTCCCCCGTGGCCAGCACAAATCTGACATCTGGTTTGGGTTGATGACGCTAAAGCCCTGATGCTCCTGCCCATGGGAGGAAGGGATTGCCTGCACCTGCTGCAGCAAGTGCTGAGGCTGTAGCTGATTCTCTTCTCTCCCGCAGAGATTGCCCGACACTTCCGCTTTGGCAGCCAGGAGGATGCGCACGAGTTCCTGCGCTACACTATTGACGCCATGCAGAAGGCCTGCCTGAATGGCTGCACCAAGTACGTGGGGCCTCTGCGAGGGCCTCTCTCCACTGTTTTCCCCTTTTGTCCCCTTGCTGGCCCACTAGTCCCCTGCCTCCGCAGGAGGGGACTGTTTAAATGTGTGGCAGGTCAGGCTGACCTGAGGGAAGCACTGGCTCAGCACCCTTGGGTGGAGGACCCAGCATCTCTCTGCTCTTCTGTAACAGAGTTCTGAGCTGTTGTCTGCCTTCTGTTGACTCCTGTGTTCCAGCGTGGCTGTGGCCCTGTCCCCAAGTGCTGAGACTATTATGAATTTGGAGCCTATCCTAATTGCTGAGGAATCCAGGCGTGTTTGCTAGCAGTGCAACCCTGGTTTTGTGGCTGAGCCCTGGTGTCCCTGGGAGCCTGCATCTCCTCTGTCTTTAGCATTCAGCTGTGAGCTCCCACTAGGAGTAACTGCTCCTTCTAGGTGAAAGGTGCGTGTCAGGGAGTCTGGTGCCACCTTTTCACCTCTGATGCCAGGAGAATCAGAATGGCAGATAAACTACAGCTTCCCTGAGTCTCTGCAGCAGGTGTGCTGGGGAAAAAAACCATGTAGAGAGCTGTATTACAGTGCGTATCCGGAGAGGTGCAGTCCATGGATCCATCTCAATCCAAAGGAACACGTATGAGTTGCTGTAGTTCTTCCTTCAGTAGCTAGCCTGGTAGCATCTAGAGGGCAGGTGGTGGGCCTCCTCTGCATGGTGGTGGTCCTTGCTTAGTATTACAGCTCAAGGTCTGGTCCTCTGCAGGTTGCAGAGGGACGGTGTGGGATCCAGTGCTTCTGTTTCTAGGTTGGATCGCCAGACCCAGGCAACCACTCTGGTTCACCAGATCTTTGGTGGCTACCTGCGGTCCCGAGGTAAGTGTGGGCTGCAGACTCTCTCTGGGTTCTGGTTCCTGGGCCTGTGTCTTCAGGAGCTCAGCTGGCATTACCCTGAGACCTTTGCACTAAAAAAATCTTTTGGGAAAATTACTAAGTGTGTGTAAATTATCTGGAGCTTCATAGTTGCAGCTTTTATGGGTCTGACTCCTCTTGTGACACTGCAAAAAGGTATTGGCTTTTTGGCTCGTTGTCATCCCCTGAAGAAACTAATGTTTGCAGCTATCTACCGGCATTTTCGTTCCCAGCGTAAGAGTGGAATTGCCAGCCCTTCCCCTTGTCGGGCTATGAGTGCATGGCCAAGATCCTGGTGCTGATGCTCCAGGGCCCAAACTTGAAGAGGGAGAACACTCCAGCTGCCTGCTGGTGTGACGGGGTGGGAGTAAAGCAGTGGAGATGGTAGGGAACAGATATTATGTGCCAGAGTGTGCTCATTGCTGTGTCTGTTGCAGTGAAATGTTCAGTGTGCAAGAGTGTATCGGACACCTATGACCCTTACCTGGACGTGGCGCTGGAGATCAGGGTACTTTTCCAGGGTTCGGGATGGGAAAGGTCAAGAGCTCTGCTCTTGCTGGTGGACGTTTCTGCAATGGCACTGTTGCTGTTCTCAAGGCCTTTGTAAACTGCTAGTGTCAAGGAACCGTGCAGGCAAGAGAGAAGCAACTTTTGTTGCTGCGCTGCCTTCTCTTTGTCTGGTGGAGCAGTGCCTGCTGTCTATGTGAGTCATGACTCCTCCAATGAAGCCCTTGGTGTCAGTGGTCCACTTGTCCTTGGCCAACAGTCCCTTTCTGCCAGCTCGCAGCAAGCTGGCGAGCGCACAGCTGGCATCAGGCTCACAGGTCTGATGTGGTCTGTGGCCCTGTCCTCATACTCTGCAGTATGTCTTTTGGGGTCAGCATCCGGGCAGGGAGCTGGCTGTAGTGTGGACAGCCCGCGTGTGTCCTGACTACTTCTGTCTTTGCAGCAAGCCGCAAACATAGTGCGAGCGCTGGAGCTGTTTGTGAAGTCTGATGTGCTTAGTGGGGAGAATGCCTACCTGTGTGCCAAGTGAGTGCAGGGGCCTGCAGGTGGGAAGGGGCTCGTGGGCGTGCTGACAGGAAGCACGCGGAAAGCCTGCGGAGATATGGAGGGGCTGTTCTGCTTGTTCCACCGCTGCCTCAGCAGCCCTGGCAAAACCGTGGGATGTGTGGCTGTAGAAGCCTGTGACAAAGCCTTGTTCTTCAGCTCACCCCTCTCATGGGGAGGGTCAGGGCTAGCAGACACGCTCATGCGTGAGCAGGTGCCCTGGAGCGCGTGGTGTCAGCATGGTCAATTCCACAGGGGTTGCCCCTTGGCTAAGGCTAGCAATGATCTGGGTGGTGTAGTAGCAGGAGCTCTTCCCATACAGGTGCAAGAAGAAGGTGCCAGCTAGCAAACGCTTCACCATCCACCGAGCCTCCAACGTCCTCACGCTCTCACTGAAGCGCTTTGCCAACTTCAGTGGAGGCAAGATCACAAAGGTGAGTGCTCAGCAGCCCAAAGCTGGGGCTGTCTCCTGGCTCAAGACCCTGCTGTCCAGAGCAGGGTGGGAAGTAGTCCTGTGCACAGTGGAAGCTCTGCAGTCTTTCCCCAGCTGTGCTGTGGGGGCCACAGTGACTTGCAGTGGGTGTATGGCTCATCCCAGCATCTTTCTCACCATGACTTTTTTGGCCTAAGGAGAGGCTGGGTCCCCTCCCTGGAGAGATGGGACTTGTAAGACAGCTGGAGCTGCCTTTGCTCTAGTACGTAACACAGCTTCTGTGCAGGTGCCTGAGATATCCTGTCTCTGCAGGACGTGGGGTACCCAGAGTTCCTGAACATCCGACCTTATATGTCACAGAATAATGGAGATCCTGTCATGTATGGGCTCTATGCAGTGCTGGTGCACTCGGGCTACAGCTGCCACGCGGGGCACTACTACTGCTATGTGAAGGTGAGCCCACGGGGTGCTCTGGTTGGCAGGCCTCTCTGGGCTGGGAGCCGATGGGCGCTCGTGAGTTGCTGTAGTGCACAGAAAGGAGAGCGCTTAGCAGATGTGCGTGGTGTGGAGCTGTGGACAGGAGAGGACAGCCTGTGCACCACTGCAGGAAGTGTGGTGGTCTCCTGGTGCACAGTCCCTTTTCCTCCACTGGGCTGTCTCGGGGGGCTGTGGAGAGGAGCTCTGCTGAAGGAAGATGCTCCTGCAGTTCTCTAGCTGTCCTTCAGACCAGGAGGATTCCTGGGCAGAGCCTGACCATGTACTGTTTTCCTTCCTCAGGCCAGTAACGGGCAGTGGTATCAAATGAATGATTCCCTGGTCCATTCCAGCAACATCAAAGTGGTCCTCAACCAGCAGGCCTATGTATTGTTCTACTTGAGGTGAGAGGTGCCCTGTGTCCTCGTTTCCCATCTGCCTGTTGCTCTTCAGCATGTCTGTTGCATTTTGGGATAGGGCTAGTAGCACATGTCTGAAGGTGGGAAGGAAGCTTGGCCCGAGTAACCCCAATGCTTGTCTACGTGCCCTGGCTGGGAGGAGGGTTGTTAGCAGAGAGGTCTGGCCCCTTGTCGTGGTTTTGCTGCGGCAGCTCTTGTCTGAGTTTGTCTCCTGTTTGTCCTGTGCATCTCTGACAAGACGTAGCATTCCAGTTGCTCAAATTCTCCCAGTGAATATGTGCATTTCTTTGCCTTCCCCAGAATCCCCAGTGCCAGGAAGAGCTCTGAAGGGCCCGTTGCCAAAGCTGCCTCCAGCCTGCCTGGCCGTGCTGGTGTTGTCTCTGATCAGATCAAGAAAACTGTGACCAATGGGCCCATGTCTTCACCACTGATGGGTCGGGTGAGTCCTAAAGGCTGCTCTTGGCCAGTGCTCCTGAGAACTCAGAATTGCTGCCCCTCTGCTCACCAAGGGGACATGGGCTGTAGCTTCATAAAGGGAGATCCGCTGGGTGTGGTGAGAATGGCCTGTTGGAAGGATCCTGCTGTGCCAGGGATTTTCACATGGGTTGCAGGGAAAGGGAGGAGAGCTAGTGTTCCGTATCCTTCTTAGCTCGCTCACTGCTCTCCTAGATGAACTTGTTTCCTCTTTGTCTAGAGACCAGACACGCTGCAAGGGAAGAAGCTGCAGGGATCAGAGGAGATAGGAGTCCCTGTGGCCCGGAGCGCGTTCGGGACTGTGCCAAAGCTGCAGAACGGAACCACTCAGCCAAAGCTGCCTGCTGGATCCCCTTCACCCAAACTGGCCACCAAATCCATTCACACAGCAGCAGCACTTCCAGATGACATAGCCCAGAAGCCCAAGAAGCCGCTCTCCTCCCCTCAGCAGCATCTTCCACCCAGAGCAGTTCAGGGCTTCTGTGATACCAATGATGCAAGTGGGGCCAAAGCTGAATCTCCCAGGCAGAGCTCCTGGGAGAGCAAGGAGCCACCTACCTCACCCAAGCTGCTGCCAGAACCTGCCCCCAGCCAGGAACCCCAGGGCAGTGGGGAGAACAGAGGGACCTCAGAGAGGGTCTCCTGCAGCAGCAATTCCGCTAGTCCAGCGCACAGCAGAGTAGGAGAGCTGGCCAAAGCATCTCAGAAGTCCAAGAATGGAGCCAGCAGCCTGTGTACCTCTCAGGAAACGGACTATGGCACGGACCTCCCTGCTGACTATGACGCCGATCCGGCTGGCCCTGAAGACTCCAAGCTGGCAAAATTGAAATCCTCCTTATTGGGCAACGCAACTTTGGAGCCGAACAGCACCATGTCACCACCACCGGCCAAGAAACTGGCACTTTCTGCCAAAAAGGTGAGTCTGGGTGTCTGTCCTGACATTTCATTGGGTACCTCAAGTTGTCTTAGCGTGCACTTGCGCTCTGGGGCAAGTGCAGTGATAATGCTGGGTATCTTCCTATGCTAAGGTGGGCTAGGAGAACCCCTCAACCTCAAGGTTGTCACAGTTGTTCTGCCCTCCCTCTGGGCAGGGGTATGGGGTCAGGCCCCTGCTGTTGTCCACCCTCCCTCTTGTTCCCAGGGTTGTTTGCGTCCCTGAGTGATGCAGGACAAATGACTCTTGCTTTCTTGTTCAGGACTCTGAGTGCTCGCTGTACCAGTCCCTGCGGGT